TAAGTCGTTCAAGTTACACTAATATCGATTCGAGTGATTTTCATTTATTAAACTTCTATAGTTTTTATTTAATTACTAGATATTATCGATATCGACATCCTTCGGACTAAGACAACCCTTTCACAGCACGCCATATGCCGCGGCGCTTCCAGCGCGCCCTTAAATTACAGAAGTTCCCGCTCATAATAGAGAGATATGCCTTTAATATCTGCCGGAAACTGCTTCAGTGCCTTGTTTACTTTTTGCCTCCGTTCTTATATTAGAAATTGTTACAACGCAAATACGTTTGTTATCTTGAACTATGGTTACTGCTGACGTCTGTGTTTATGTGTCTATGGTACCGAGCTTGTAAACTGTCGCAACTTAGGCATAATCTTGATACTGTTCTATTATTTTCTTATTAATGAAGTTGTTACACATTTATTTACTAGTCATTTAATGGCACAATCGTAGAAATATTTGTATATAAAGCAAAGTAATTTATTGGAATAAATTATTAGCTTTGAGTATATAAGTTGTACTCCGCATTTATAATATTTATTAGGTATCGGAGTACAAAAAGGTAAGACAACCTTATTTCTTTGAAAGAAATTAGTCGCTAGTATTACTTATTTGGCACAGCTTTAGATACTATGTGTTTAAGCGATTTTATTAAACATTACATAAACAACTACTAATATTAAATTATGAAAAATATAACCGGTCAAACTCAGCTAGTACATGTGGAATAATCAAGGTTCGTTCTGTGCCATTCACCATATAACGATCGACCTTTACCCGCACGTGATATAAGAAAATGTCATTACAAAATCGAGCCCCGCAAGATCAGGGTGCAATTTCAATCACAATTCCCGACCGGTGTCCTGAAACGCACCTGCTGACTGTCACGGGTCCAACACGTGCCCGACTAACAGGCTACTTAACGTAAGTGACCCCACTTACTTAGGTATTCTTACTTATAACACACGGTGACGACACGATTACGACAAGTTAGCGACATTGTGGTATAGTAATCGTATAAAATTTGACCAAACATTTATTTGATTTCCATTTAAATTGAATCAATTTTTAACCTAAAACTTTTCTAATTCTCCCATAAACTGTTTATGGTATGCAAGAAGGACGCTTAGCATGCATATGGTTCTGATTTTATTTACATAGTAGTTTAACATACTTATGGGCGCATTTATAATAACGAAACTATCAACACAAATTACCCACTTATAGAGACTAAGAACTGTAAAAGATGAAAATTATTATTTTATAAAAAGAAACGTCGTAACGTCTACGTGCCGGCATAGTAGCCTTTAAACGCTCTCAATCCCAAATGTGCCGTCGGAGACAGTCCGATAGCCGGCAATTTCACGAGCTACGACCGCCAGCTGCGACCGACGCGCCAAAAAATAACATTCCCTAAAAAACATTTGCGAAAGAAAGGGATATTAGTCTCCGCGGAGCAATAATCGAAGCCGATTGGCCCACCGAACGCCCCGACACGACACTTCCTTTTATTTATACCATTACTTTATTCTATGGTAATATCGTAAAACATATTTTATGTGCACGAACACCTTCCGATTTTACAATAAAACGATGCTTGCTGATTGCAGATTTGTCGAGTGCAGAATATACGATTAATACTAATATGATTTTATGTTTTACTTAATTTAAATTAAGCTCAACATATTAAAGTGTAAACAGGTGTTTGCGCTTCATTATGTAGAACAAACCTATATGATGCTGTCACTTTGTCTAATATAGTAGGGCATACATATAACAACATAATTCCACATCTAGAAACTTCGTAGCAATACCGTAGCGTTAACTCACATTTATGTATGTACTACGACTTGTTTGCTGTAGATTATTTAACCAACAATACATGCTATTATGTATGTTTCACGCATGTTCAACGCATACGACCGTTCAAAACAGTACTGTCCGTCAAAAATTCTGTCTCAATAACCAATACTGTACTATCAGCTCTACCCTCGTGTGAAACAGGCTATTATAGGTGAGATTACAAACGCTGCGGGGTGGGCTGATGTTTGATGGGTATTTTTAGTCGCGGCGCGGGATTACGCGTCAAGATTAGATTTCAGACGACAAGTGAGCGCGACGCCTTGTCACCAACACTGAACGCCCCTGTTTAAAGCACATTCGCTAAACAATGCTGTACCAATTTTATTAGTTTCATTTAAAATCGGGAACAAATTAAATAAATTTGGTCTTTGAGAGTGCTGTAATAAGTAATATTTAGGATAGATAGTGATTTTTTAATAATACTCGAGCGTATTAACCCTAACGTAACATTAAAAAATTTCCATTTACCCGCCATCTAGTAAGACATTAAAACGTAAAAGTTCGTTACTAATTTCAAGGCTTCAAATGTAAATTAAGATTGCATAAAATTGTTGTAGTTTTTTGCTCCGCCACAAGAAATAAGTAAAGAATGCGTATCGTATAGAAAAGATCGCGGCCAATTTCTCCAACCATTTCCCCTAAATTTTTTCAATACGCGTTTGGGATCATTTAACATTTTTATGTGTAATCTTGCTCGGTGGCGATAAGACAAGGAGATTTTTGCGCGTTTCTCACTTTATTTTATCGGCGACGTTTTACGACGGACTCTAAACAGATTAAATCTATAAGAATGGGGCGCTTTTCGTATTATTTTTTTTTGTTTATTGCCTTGTATTTTGGTTTAATAAGATCCCCGCGGAACGTTCGAAATATGATTTGTCTCCAATTTAAACAGCGAAGATTATAAAAAAAAGGTTTAAAAACATAAAAAGAATGCAATAAAAAGCAACAATTTCTGCACACAACAATATAGATTAATATTCTTACCGACGACAAACAACGTATAAAATCATAAACAAATGGTGACAGCATAATTTTTCCTAGTTTTGAAACTGTTGTACTATTAAGTAATGGAAACATCCCTATTGTACTCGTATATCTTTAATGGAACGTTACAGTAATAACAACGCTTGGTCGACCAGAGTAATGAGTTGTATTAAATCTAAATATTTCAAAACAAACGGTACATAATCCGTACTTCTTTAAATTATGCAACATTTGTATGGAAATACAAAAGACTCTTTCGTACCCGACCCTACAGACCTTCTTAAAAATACATTTTATATTATTTGTTGCCGTGGTTTGTCGCTTACTCTATATTTGATTGCTTTTTCATGCAGATATAGTATTTTTAGTATTGCTCCCTTGCGCTTTGTAATATGGTATCAAGATTCGAAGTTTGTATTTATATAAAATTTAAGAAGGTAATAATTACGGGTATTTTCGTACACTTACGTACAAAGTAGATAATAGTTCACATTATCTGCATTCAAAATTAGGCTGTAAACGAAAACTCGATAATAGATCCAAAGTCGAAATAGGTCAACGGAAGTAGGATTTTTTTTTATCAAAACATGTTTATATTGTAAACGTTTACTTGAATAAATAAAACAATCCATCATTCCGGGAGCGTGCGGAGTCGCTAGTGGAAGTATTGTGGACAAACTCGACTGCAAACAACGCCGGCAATCACCAGTGCAAATGTTTGCCGCCGCGCTACGCTGCCGTCACGCACCTCGGCCCACACCGACAAACACGTTGACGGTGTTACAAATAAACATTATTAAAAAATTTGCTACACAACTACTAAATACACGCGTCTCCTAAACTTCGCATTCTTCTTTAGCACGCAAAACCGGATAAAAGCACTACCGGGCAATATCTATTAGGTACGAGAAAAAGCTGTCCCTTTAAATGAATGTACATAAGAGTTAATAAATAAAGTATCATATGCCATTGTTCAATTTCAGTTGGAAGCAATCTATTAAAATTTTCAAATTCTGATTTTCACCCCTTACAAACGTGATGCCGTGTTTATATCATATTTTCCATCCGGCGAAGCTTATTTTATTACTTCGATAGGTCGCCGCCTAACTTCGTTGGCCACCAGTGTGAACAATTTTATAACCGCCGCGACGAAATAGACGTTCTCCATTGTAAAATCTAAGTGTCAGGAATAGAGTTTAAAATGCAATTGTCTATATGCGACTTTAGGTGAGATCGCCAACCATAGAGCGCTAACCTTATATTCTTCAAAGAATGGTTGGTAAATTTTCAATACTCACTTTATTAGGGCAGAGCGGAAGGAGGGTGAACGAAACGGCCTTTATTAGATTTTCTGGAAACGTGAGCATATAGGCAGTGGCATAGAATTTTAGCTTCAATTCACTATATATCTATATGAATAGATTTTAAACCTTCTAACAATTCTACTAGAATAGACTGACCTAGAAATCGTTTTGAAGAAGGTATAAAGTACCTAGTAATCTGATCTAAAGCGTGTCAACGTTAATTAAACAAATAAAAATTCCATGCTTATATTTAATAACTATCCAGATAAGTCCACACTATTACCGATGATATTTCTAAATTTCCTTATCAAAAGGCAAAATTAAAAAAAAGCTTTCTGAGTAATTTTTGTTTAAGCGACATCTATTGGATTGTTTGACTATTTGTGCAGAGAAAACTAATCTGACAGTTAATGTCACGCGTAGATAACATGGTCGTCCATAGTTGGCGCAGCAGTCAACCATTTTTCCCAATTTTTCGTAAACAAAATTAAAATTGATATTTATAGTAATCTCCATTTTATGCTATAAATTCTTATCGAGTCCAAATCAATAATAAGAAGAAAGAACGCCATACGGATTTTGAAGAAATAAGTAATAGTCTCGATTTTATCAAAAATTATTCGATGATTCGATTACGAAATATGTAGAAACAAAAATTATATTATGACACTTTATGTATAAATAATGGTATGTTTTTAATAAAAATATTAACTATTGATAGAAGTACAAGCTTTTATTTAGTCTTGAATTAATTTTGTTGCAAACCAAATGAATAACAAAAGTTGTAAAATAAACTCTTTGGTTGTTGCAAACAAACAATCGGGTTATGCCATACCCATACGAATGCCACTGCGCCATTGCCACTGCTTGACAACAACATTGTCAAAATCAAAACGTAAAGGTTAGGATTCTACGAAATGATGTGTCAAAGTCGAAATCAGTGAATAAATAATAAAGTTTATAGTAATAATGAAAAAGTAATAAGCAAATATATCTAATTCAAGATGGCTGTTGTAATAGAAACAACTCTTGGTGATATTACAGTAGATTTATACTTAGAACAACGACCAGTTACGTGTTTGAATTTTCTGAAACTATGCAAGATGAAATATTACAATTTCAATCTATTCCACTCAATACGTAGTGGTTTTATTGCTCAAACGGGAGATCCAACCGGTGAAGGGTCAGGTGGCGTGTCTATTTGGGGCCTAATAGAAGGGCCGCAAAAGCGTTTCTTTTCTGGAGAAAAAATGCCTAAAATACGTCATACAGATGCTGGTTTGCTAGCCATGGTGTGCACAGATGATATGATGGTCGGTTCCCAATTTTATTTCACGCTGGCTCCAGATTTAGATTCCTTGGATGGAGTGCATTGCGTCATTGGAGAAGTTACAGAGGGGCGGGAAATATTAAGTAAGTTAAATGAAGTTATATGTGATGAAACGCACCGTCCTTATCAAGATGTTAGGATTACCCACACTGTTGTACTGGAAGATCCGTTTAGAGATCCTCCAGGGCTAACACCACCATCTAGATCTCCCTCACCAAGTGCTGAACGTTTAAAAGGTGGTAGAATTGCACCTGATGAAGAAATAGATGAGACACAAGGCAGAACTGCTGAAGAAATACAAGAGATGGTTGAGGAAAAAGAGGCTAAAGCTAGGGCAACCATTTTGGAAATAGTTGGTGATTTGCCAGATGCTGATATTGCGCCTCCTGAAAATGTACTGTTTGTATGTAAATTAAACCCTGTCACAACAGATGATGATTTAGAAATTATCTTTAGTCGATTCGGAAAAATTGTAAGCTGTGAAGTTATTAGAGATAAAAAGACTGGTGATTCTTTACAATATGCATTTATAGAATTTGCTGACAAGCAATCATGTGAAGATGCATATTTCAAAATGGATAATGTATTAATAGATGATCGCAGAATTCATGTGGACTTTTCACAATCTGTGTCAAAAATGAAATGGTTGGGAAAGGGCAGAGGTGTGAAGTATTTCAATGAGAATGAACCTAAAAATATTAAGGGAGGTCAAAATAAATCTAGATCTAGAAGTAGAGAAAGACATTTACATTCAAGCAATGATAAAGAAAAGTATAGAAGTAGAAGCAAGTATGATAAGTCACAAAGTAATCATAGAGATAAGAAATACAGCCCTGATAAAAATCATTCAAGTCACAGAAATGATAGAGAAAGAAGTAGAAGTAAATCAAGAACAAAATATCACAAGACATCATCAAAACGTGAAAGAAGCCCATATAGTAACAGGAAAAGCTCGGACATATATAAGGACAGAAAAGACAAACGTCATAGTACCCATAACAAAGATAGTAACAAATATAGTTATAGTAAAAAAGAGAACCATACTAAAGTTAAAAATAGAGAATCATCTCTATCTCCTATAAAACATAATGAAGAAAAGGAAAGACATATCAAAAATAACAATAGACGGGCATCTCCATCTCCAACTAAATATGGTAATGTCGATGATAGACATTCTAAAGATAATAGGCGAAGGAAATCTCAGTCGCCAACCAAAAATGTACATAAAAGAGAAAAACCTTCAAATAGTAATAATAGAGCGGAATCTCCATCGCCTACCAGAAATGAGAATAAAAGTGAAAGGCATTCTAAAAAGAACAAAAAGGAGAAATCTCAATCCCCCAGGAGATATACAGAAGACAGGAATGGAAGTTCTAAAAGAGATAAAAGGGAGTCTTATTCTCCTGCAAGATTGGCTAATGATAGTAATAGACATTCTAAAAGTAATTATATAGAGGGACCTCCATCACCTATCACAAAACAAAAAGATGAAAATGAAATAGAGAGAGAAAGTTCTAGATATGAAAAGAAATATGAACAATATTATAATAGTGAACATGATTCAAAAAATAACAAACGTAAACATCAAGAAAGTGAAATAATTAGCAGTAATAAAAAATCCAGACATGAGCAACCTCATACACCATCTCCTTTATGTGAAAAAGAAAATCAAAAAAAAGAACAAAAGAAACTCAAAACTAAACATACTAACAAAGAAAGTAACAGGAAAGATAAAAAATTGAATAAAAAGAGAAAACCATCTACATCTTCTGATAGTTCCTCGGAATCAAGCACATCAAGTAGTAGTACAAGTTCTTCGAGTGAATCCGACAGAAAAAAGAAAAAGTTGAGAAGAAAAAGAAAGGAATCAACTTCAAGTAGTAGTAGCGACTCTAGTGATAGTTCAAGCTCATCAAGTTCAAGTTCGACTAGCTATAGTAGTAGCTCAAGTTCTAACAGTGACCACAAGAAAAGAAAACAAAAGAAGAAAGTGAAAAAAGTTGTTAAAAAACCTAGAAATAAGTTATAGTACTTAATTGTAGAATGTATCCAGCTTATAGTACAAGAAAATGGTCTTTGAAAAATCTAATTCATTCTACAATGAGAGCCATTAGAATAAATTTTGTATGCATTTGCAATGCATTATATGTAATGTGGCACAATTTATTTTTCTTTACCTACCTAAATTAGTTCTCTAGAAAATAGTTTACTTTTATTGACCAATGAATTTGAGAATAAAAAAATGTTTGCTTCTAACTTTCTAATTATAAATAAATTAACAAAAACTCCAACATACTAACATTATCTATAATATATTTTTAAATTTCTAATAAAATGCTATATTTATCTTTACAATTACATGTGTTTGTTTTATCATTACCATTTACATTGATAAATCTTAAGTATGTTATTGTTAATTAAAATAACAATAAATATAACTGATATTATAAATATTTTTTAAAGTAGATTCTAGTTTTTTAATAATTATTGTCTAAATTATATAAATAATTAACATTATGTACATTAGATTGGCAAATTATATTATACCCACGATAACTAAATAGTAGAAATAGAAAAGAATTGCATTTACCTCTATTATATTAACATCAACGTTATCAAATTGCATTCAAGTAGATTTCTTGTTACATTCATAGTGAATGTAAAATTTCGAATTTATACGCCTTAGCTTTTTTAATAGCAATATTTTTATACAGCTCTTTGCTCGTACGTTTTACGGCCAATTTGATATGTTCATTTGTAAAAAATAAAACATACGTCGAAACCTTTATCATATTTGCTCGACATACAAATAACAAAACTTTGTATTCTACTAATAGAAGTTACGAAAGCTTCTTATTATCTCTTTCTACATTATATAAAGGTCTAATATGACCTGGTGCGCCGACCTTACGTAAGTGGGACAAAAACAGAGAGATGATGATGATGATGAAGTCAAATTTGATTACGTATTTGTATTTTTTTACAAATACTCAGGTGGGGATATAAATCTTAATTTAAAGTGTACGAAAGGAAATAATAAATAAAGTCATGCTACAAATGAAAGGTACCTACTGGCCGAGTGCGAATACAGGACGTCGTTGAATCCCAGCCAGTCTATTGGCTCACTCATCTTTTGTACAGTTAAAGTGACTAAACAAGAAGATGACTGTCGTTAGCGTCTGCCATTGTGTACCTTTAGGCTAAAAACGAATGCGTATTTTGAATATCACTGCCAGACTAAAATGTCTGTTACTTACATTTTATGAAATTGACCCGTAGTTTTTTTTTTTAATTTATGTTCTTTCAGTACCAATAAAAGAAAACATGACAACAAACAAAGCGTGTGGATGGCATTTCACGTGGACCGAAGACCTCGCGATGATGAAGACACTTAATACGGAAAGTGAAGCACCTATGCTGTTCAATTCATTGAGTTACGCATAGGCGTTCAGCAGTCGATTAATACGGTCTTAATATTTTATAATGGTCTGGGGTAAACATGCATATTTCCAAAAGTCGTAACAAAAGTATGATTATATCTTATATAGATTATCAAGTCCTTCTAAATTTCGCTAATTTAGGGGGATTTAACTCACGTTCTAATTAAGCCAACGTTTTTTATTATGTGAAAGAGTACAGACAACTCCAGATATAGAAAATACTAAATATTCAATAAAAAATAACCTTAGAGGTCAAATCAAAGAACTAGTTCAACATGAGCTGATATACATATTCAGACTAGATTATTTTATGTTTAAGCTATAAAAACAGATATGATTATGTATCGTATAATTTTCATGGCGTCATATGTCTTTCGGCACGAGGGTACTGTCTGTTACTATAGAGATGATCTCTTCTTTGAGGCACGCACAAAAATATGGAAAATGCTTAATGTAATGTAATTAATGGATGTCGACAGCGTTCCTAACGCTTCATTTTCCAAGCAATATGTTTTATGAAGGGCTTTCTTAACTTGACGAACTCAGACGTCATTGAATACAGGGGCGCATTCGCGAATTCGCAATTTCGATGTATAAATTAAACCAAACGTGAAGAGGATAATTTCATACATACTTTTATTGATTATCATCAAGCAGTTTGTTAATCTATCCTATCCTGTAAAAAGATTAATCTTGCATGACATTAAAACACTATTCTTGGCATGACTTAGTAATAAACAAGCTTATTTTCAAACGGAATCACATGGAACAGGATTAAATTATACCAAAACCATGTTAATGTAGTACATGTAATTTTTCAACAAGTTAAGTTTTCATAATAATATTGTTATGTTTTGAATTCGTCCCTGTGGTTCCCAGTGCGCATGCTACCAGCTATCGACAGGATGGCTTTTCTCTCCAGCGGCACCCCGACGCCGGCACTCGTTCCCAGAGTGAGCTCACCACATCGTCGCATCCGGATCTCCGCCTCTCAAACTATCTTCTACAATTAAATAAATATTTAATAAAAATAATTTTGCCATTATCATGTTATTGGTCAGTTTAACCGCGGCTTTCGCGGTTCTTTTCGTTGTTAACGCGATACCAGCGCCTACTAATAAAGGTAAAGTATACTATTTAATATTTTGCTGTTATCTTTAAATTATATTTAATATCTATTGTTTATTAGTTTATATGTGTTTATACGTAGCGAAATGTTTCTGTATAATGTGAATTACTTTACCGGTAATAAGTTGTGTTTATCGATCACGCGTTCTATATTTAGCAACAGGTGGAGTCGGCTACGGCGTTCCCTAACTGCGTAATACCTTTGAGCGGCTGTAAACTATGACCTTTTCTATACAATCCCTAGTCTGGAAGTAGCTTAATATATACCTACTTTTCTAGACTTTTGTAAAAGATTCTTTGAATAAAAAAGTTCATCGCCATTTTGATGGGCTTTACTGCGACTAAAAAAACTTTAGCGCAAAATGTTTTACAAAAACTGGTATCATAGACAAAGAAAACATAGTTATTTTACTGCTTATCAATTTATAATTCGGAAAAAAAATTACAGAATATTATTCAATATTCCGCATTTCATAATTCTAAATAAAACATGGGCCTATCAATCGATCGGCCTCGATTCAATTCCTTTTTATTTTCTAAGATTTTATAAAACATAAACTTGCTGTTTAATATAAAGTTTCTTGATATTATTTTTACTTTAGATGGCGTTCAAATTGGTGAACTGCCAGAGAATTGGGACCAGACAAAAGACGACACTCAATCCTTGTTCCTCAACAAGAGCGACAAGAACGATCTGGAGCCGTACCCCCTTGCCTTGAGCGAGGAAGGTAATGTTCTCATTTATTATTTTTAATAATCGGGGCGGGTAAAAGCTGAAATAAAAACTCTTTTTTCATACTCAAGTTATAACTAGCAACAATGTGGGAGTAATAATTTTCTGATAGTATAAAGCTAGTTAAAATTAATGTAATGATATAATAATAAAATATTTTTTTCTATGTACTATGCTGTCTTTCAGGTAACGTAGAAGCATACGAGCAGAATGTTGACCAGCGTTTTGATAACCCACAATCCACGGGCGAACTAGACAACTTGATCATGCGGTCGGAACTGTACGGAGAGCCGCCATCGATGGAGGGCCTATCCTCCGGATACGACTCGCGCCGCCGCAAGCGCGGAAGCGGAACCAAAGTGGGTGGAGCTGGCGCAGCCACTAAAGTCGCAACTAAATCTGGATCGGGCAAAAAGAACTTGAAGTAAAACAATAATTTATAATTATTGTCAATAATAAAAAAGTTCCTTATTGTTACTTTAATTTTTAATTAATTTCATGTGTTCTTTTACAGGCCCGAGGATGTCCTTTCCCCAGTGGAATCGACGTCTCAAGATCACGATGTTCATCGTCTCAAGCGTGGCAGTGGAACTAAAGTTGGTGGAGCTGCAGCATCGGCGAAAACGGCGACCAAGAATTCTGGTGGAAATAAAAAGAACTTTAGGTAACATACAACATCCAATAAATTTAAAAATAAATTATCTATAAATTGTATGTTATGTTAATATTATTTTGCAGGCCTATTTCGGAACGTCGCAAGCGTGACTCGGGTCTGAGCGCCGCTGATGTCCGAGCTCTGTTAAATCTGTGGGAGGCTCAGGAGCGCAGGAAGCAGGAATGGAACGCTAACCGATGGGCGGCGGCCGCGGAACACAACGGATGGTACAACCGAATGAACGCCCTCGACGACGAGCAGCCAGAAGTGGATGAGAATGGTGACGTCTGGTACAACGAGCCTGCAGTAGTAGGGCCACGTGAGAGAGACTTCCCGCGTCATTCGTACTTCTCGGAACAGAATCGTATGGCGCTAGCTCACGGCTTGCCGGACTTGTACCAAGTGGACCCGAACGAGTTGGCTCAGAGGTATGAGGAGGCCCGCCGCAAGAGGCAGTACGCGAACAAGATGAAGCGGTTCATGGTGACAAGGAAGCGATCGGACGGCATGATGCACCAGAACAACTACCGGCCCCGCGACGACCTCTACACCCTAGCCGAGCTGCTACGCACTGCTCCCCGCGTACAGGAACAAGACATCCCCGTGTATCGACGACTGATTCTTTAAGCGCATTGTCTAATGATGCTTATCCCTTAAAGGATTCTTTCTATATTTAAATTTTTTCTCTATAACTTGATGTTAGTTGATAAAGGAATGCAAGAATAATTTTGTTTTCGCTAAATGGGCGATTACAATGTGTCACGGATACGGAGATTATTTCGCATTTAATTCTGTGTGTAGTTCATAGTTACATACAAAATTAGATTTAAGGCACATAGAACTAGACATTTCTTATTTTAATTTGTTTATTTTTTTACATTATGGCCTAACATAGCATAAAACATGAAATATTTGTCATGCTGAATATGTTTGTTCTACTCTTCTCTACCTCGGTTTACTACATATCTTTTTGATCAATTCATCAAATAATACGGACAACCGATAGATGTATTTTCAGGTTCGTCTAATATAATTGCAAATGGTGAGGTAAAACTTCATATTTCAATGGTATTTAGATGTATCCGCTGTATGAAAATGGTATTAACATTGCTGTATTAAATTAGTGTAATCCAATAATTACTGTTTCAATTTATATCCCGTGAGTACATGTGTTTTTAACTGAATAGGAGTCAAACACGCAATGGGAGCCTTAACGAATATAGGTCAACGACGCCCATACACATCTATATATCCAGAAGAACTGCAGATGCTTTACTGGCATTTCAGAAATAAATGCGTCAGCATCTTAAAGGCCCCTAAATCGTAACCGTTTGGAAATACCGCCGAGGACAGCCTCAGCCACAACATAGTTCTAAAATAATTAAATAAACTTGTTCGACAAAAGCTTTATAACATTAAATATAAAACTCCTTATTATATTATGACGTCTTACGAATAGGTTAGAAAAAAAATGTTTAATTTTAACTTTCAATGTCAGCGATCTTCAATAATCTTATGAGCTTATAGGAATATTATTCCTTTTCGTTATAACAATTTAATTTAAGATATCTACGTAATATTGTCTAAGTTGATATGAAGAAAGAGAATCTTAGTACAGGTAGAATAAGCGGTAGAAGATTAGAAGAAATAGATAACGAGTGTTTAGACTCGATAGAAAACGTCGAAGATGTTCTGGTTCCGATACGGGCAAAGTACGAATCGTTTCTTTGGTTTCTTAAATATTTTAAAATGTTTATATTGCGTCTAGGAAAAGATTTATGCCAGTCTGGTTTATACTTGATCTTTTCGGAACGGATTTTACCCCATCATATTGTTGATTTAATGAAAAACCAAGGAAGTTTACAGACCGGTCAATACCAGGTGGTCGTTTATAATAAATGTGTTGGCAGTAATATGAAAAACAACGCCATACATTCACAACTTGATCGATCGACACAGACCATTTAATAATGTATCTTTTTTGCGAGAATATATAAATAATTATATGGCAAATGAGCTGCCAACTTTTATTTAAAACGGTTTTCTGTTTAGAAATTTCTATTAACATTTTTAATGTTTAATTTGCAATTATTTGCAATTAATGTAGTCAAAATAAATGATTTGGTTTAATAATGGTTTTCTATCTAGCAATTATTTAAATACCATATAAGAAACAACACTGTTCTAAATTCAGAATTCGTACAACTAGTTAATTTAAAAAGAAAGTTATTTTTTCGTACAGCAATCAATTCATTCTCTACTTATTAGAGATCAGTAAAATAAGCACTAAACGGCTTTAATAACCTGTCGAGTCCACTGACGTACCTATTCCCAGAATTTTTTTATTTTTTTTTATGTCGACAGGAACTTCGACGTCATCGGAATATTCCGATTCTCAAAGCGCAAACGTTTCATCTAATAAACATGACTACCATAATGCTCAGCTGAAAAGAGCCGTAGCACTTATACATGAGGATAAGGAATTCCTTATTGCTGCAGAAATCGGCAACTACAAGATGCTTGAAATCCTTATTAGGTGATCATTATTAGTGAGTGAATAAAACACAAAATCCACCATTTTGTTAGTCATCTAAACTTCCCTTACAGGCAAAAAGGCTTTGTATTACAAAGGCTTTTAGTCGTGTTACAGTCTGAAAATACATTAATTGACTTGTGAATTGTCACAGTATATATGTTTAAAACGTCTAAGTACCTATGGAGTCATAAACACGATGTTTATTACTTTGGTAGGCAAGGAGTGGATATACAGCAAATGGATCATCTTGGGCGGAATGCTCTACATTTGGCGGTGTGCGCTGATAGCATGGATACGATAGTTTTACTCCTTAATGTAGGCGTTAAGACTAATGTTAAGGATAATCTCGGCATGACGCCATTATCTCTTTCTCTTATGAGAAGGTAAATAGCTTTTATAATCATAAAAACTATCTACAATATACAATACGTATAACGAAAATTTTAGTATTAAAAGTGTTGCAGGCCGTCTCTAGAAGTGGCACATCTCCTTTTTGATCACGGTGCTAAAATAATACCTCGGTTAAAGCCAATGGACACGGGACTTTTCCTCCGTAAGTCAACATTTCCTTCGAACAACAATACTTGATAAGTCGGTTGTTACAATTGGCGATTGATGTTCAGAATAAAATTGGAAGGAGTACAAAACATGTGAGTCAGCTGTGCCATTTATATTAAATGGCAGAGGCGATGTGCAATCCGGTATAGCAACACGACTAGCCCCCGGCCCACTCAGCCCGCCAGGTTAGTCATCTGCTGTGACCGAATTTATACATTGTGCTGACGAGACAAAAGCGTCTGAAGAGCGTCTGATTGTTTCCAACTCAAATTCTAGATTGTACGAGAAGTTTAGTCGAAGTTTAGAAAATGACTACTACGGAAACTAAAATTTACTTATATATCTTAACAATTTATAAACCTTCTCTATGTCTTATTCAAGTTAGTTAGATATTATAGCTACACAGACTTCTGAGTTCTGTAGAAATTTTAGTTTTCGATTTGATCAAATGTAATTTTTTATAATTATGTGTGAAAAATAAATACTGATTTGGTGTTATAATTTTGGCTGAAAATATTATAGTATTCGTTTTAAACTAGTCTAGATATAGATTGCGCGATTACTTTTATTATTTTCACGTTTAAATTCCTCAGAATTTGTCATGATGTGTACACCGACTGAGGAAGAAGCGAAGATACTTGCACTTCTGATAGATAAAGGCGCGCTTATTAACGACCCAGAAGCTCCAGGTGGCCGTCAAGCTTTGCACTTTGCTGCAATGAGCGATAACTGTCCCCTGATACAGATACTCATAAACCTTGGAGCGGATTTGTTTTTAATAAACCACAGGAACCAAACCCCTATAGATGTCGCATTTTCCTTCAAGTGTAAGAATGCGTATACATTTTTAAGCAAATTTTATTAACTGTTAACCATCCAATTTTATTGCAACCCTATCCATAACAGTTATACAGCGTCTTTTTTAAATAAAGTGTAGTATACCGATTGTGTTGTACTTATTTAATTTATTATGAACATCAAAGAATTGGCTCTGCGAATCTGCAAATGAATCCCTTTCATGGCCACAAATATTGGTATTGTGGGTTATAGTATCAGTCTTATGTCAGCAGTGGCCGGGTATTAAAATAATCAATAATAAATAAATTATACAGTTACAATCATGAACCTCTATAGTAGTTAGTAGTTACAATGCACAATATTATGCTTTAAGTTATTTTTTACCTAGAATAATGATTAGAGACCAGTCGCGTCAAGCATTTGGATAGAATTATGCCTTTTGAAAGTCTAATTATAACATAGGTATATAATTTACAATACATATTAGTAAAAATATATTTGTTAAATCAAGCTATTGAACAATACATTTAATAGAATATAAATATATTCTTCGGTAGGTTCATACGACCCACGCGTTGCAATGAGTGGTAATTCAAAGCGATGACAGACGCTGCTGCTGACGATACTGACCTATAAGATGTATTTTGCCAAGTGTGTCTAGGCAATTAATTGATTTCAGTTGGGTAATCTAAGCATACCTATTGTTGAACACTAGCAAAGCATAACAAAATATTGATAAAAATTAACTGTTTCAAAAACCTAAAGTGTTACCACCACTAACATAAGTTTCTTAAAGAATTTTGAAAAATATTGAAGAAAAACTAGTCCTACGATTTTTTCTATTTTAAAGCTATACAAAAAATAAATTGATTAGTAAGAAATAGCAAAAAAAAAGTGAATATTTACTAGTACAACACTGTTACCCGCGAAACGCGAAATGATATTTGTTCTACGATTTCAAAGATGGCGGCCCTGTCGCAGTTGCTATTTCTTGTCAAACAATAATGGGAAAATTCATTTGACCAACTATTTTTACCTCTTTCTTTAGAAGTTATAGCAAAATATAAATTGATAACAATTATCTTACTAAGCTAGTCATTTTGATAATGTGATTTTAAGTCTACCGATGGCTTCCAGTGTGCAAGATTCCCCTGTCGTCCACCAGACATTTGTTGAGGAAATAGATTACAGTGAAATTCAGGAATTATCGGTAAGCAATGCAAGATGATTCGGTGTGAGATTTATCGGTTGTTTTTCAGTGACTGTGTGTGATAATTAAAATTGTGTGGGCAGGTTGTAGGTAAAGGTGCTTTTGGTGTGGTATGGAAAGGCTTATGGCGGAATACGTATGTTGCTGTAAAACATATCAATTCGGAAGCAGAGAAGCGTGAATTCGCAATAGAAGTCCGGCAGTTGTCGCGTGTATCACATCCAAATATTGTGCGACTATATGGAGCTTGTACGAAAGGTGCTCATGTCTGTCTTGTTATGGAATATGCAGAAGGTGGTTCTTTGTACAATGTGCTCCACAACAGACCGAAGCCTAAATACACAGCCGCACATGCTATGAGTTGGGCCCTACAGTGTGCCGAGGTAACACCTCATTTTATTGTCCTTGTAACAAATGAAAACCTAAATATTGTAAACATTGCATTAATATTTGCAAATCAAGTACATTGCACATTTATAATTTGCCTAGGCAATTTGTAATGACTCAATAAATTGCATATTAAACATATTCATTCACATATTAATGATTCACAATTAAATGTTTATTTAAAAAAAATTGTTCATTTAAATTGATAAACTTGTCAGATTTGTCAGTTTTAATGTAAATAAAACTTTTTTCAGGGTGTTGCATATTTACATGCTATGAAACCCAAACCATTAATACACAGAGATTTGAAACCTCCAAATTTATTATTAGTCGGAGGTGGCCAAAGACTTAAAATATGTGATTTTGGAACTGCAGCTGATAAAGCTACATACATGACAAACAACAAAGGAAGTGCGGCATGGATGGCACCAGAGGTTTGTTATTTTTCTTAAAATGGCTTAGTGTTGCTATGGTTACATTTATCATCCACTGTTGTTGCATCTATAAAGCAACAGTATTGTGACCTCCTATTATTCTCATTGAAACAATTCTGAGATGTATAGTTAAATAAGTATATCTTGCCAGATGAGTTTAGTTTGGCTTACACCGATAGGGTCAGATATTCTTGTCAGTCTATGTGTATTTGATTAAGTAGAATATTCATAAACCTTTTTAAAATAATCATAGCTTATAGCAGCTGATTACGGATATCAGTTCACTGATTGAAGTTTAAAGGTTGGTTTATTGAAAATAATGTACATTATCTTTGCAGGTGTTTGAAGGATCGTCATATACAGAAAAATGTGATGTATTTTCATGGGGAATTATTCTATGGGAGGTGCTATCCAGGAGAAAGCCCTTTGAGGAAGGGGGATCAGCATTTAGGATAATGTGGGCGGTACATACAGGTTAATATTTTAATAACAAATATGGCAGAACCTTCATAAAAAAAATACATGTGACAAAATGTGCAAAGGCATTTTAGACATTATAAAATTTTCATTTTTTTCTGTTTGTTTTGATACTACAGTTTTTAGTTGCTTTAACTAGTTTTTTTATTATTTAAGTTATGAAATAATGAGCTTAATATGGTTTTAGGGATAGGCTTCATTGAAAATCGGCACTATTATACACCGTGACTGCTGAATGAACACCTTTTGTTCGGAATAATTGTATTTTTTTCGTTCTTTCTATCTTAATATGTGACTGAAAAATAAATCAATATTTTTTTGTGTATTTCAGGACAAAGGCCAAATCTCATTGAAGGTTGTCCTGAGCCAATAGAGCAACTTATGACACAATGTTGGGATAAAGTGCCAGCTGAAAGACCCAGTATGGCTAAAGTAAGCTTAAAAAGCATTATTAAATATTTTTATACCACAGACACAACATAATATTTTAATTTTTTAGGTGGTGGAAATTATGACAGCGCTTTGTGCTTTCTTCCCCGGTGCTGATATACCAATTGATTACAATGACTGTGAAGATGATGATGCGGAGTATTCAGATGAAGACTTTATGATGTATGACACACATGATAGCCTCGGAACTGATCCTGATAACATATCTCAAGCGCACAATTCTCTAAATTATACTGACGAAACCACGTCAAATCCTACCTTATACACAGGCAGACCTGAACTGTCGCCCAGACCTCGAAGTCTCGTCGAAACTCAAGTCAATAAACTACAAAATCTTATGGCATCCGAGGCTCAACCAAAAACAGCGGCCATATATAATAATGAATTAGATACAGTGAATAGAATAGGACCAGTTCGGATTCCGCAACAGTTTAAAAAGCCCGAAGCGTACATTGAAGCCGGTAGATCACCAGTCACTATAAATCGTACATCTAGTTCTCCAGTACCATCAGACAAGACTTATATGCCGAGCGAAGGAAGCACACCACAAGATACCCTAAGCATAGTCCGAAGCCCGGCTATATTTAGTGAGAGTTCCTCACCTAGAAGACTGTCTCCGATCGTGAATTATAACATTGGCAATATGAACCCACGGCATATAGACATAGAGCAATATTGGAACAGAGAGAGTGAGAAATCATCGGTTCGTAGCCCGTCTGTGATGAGTAATACAAATTCATCTCGGAAAGAAGATTATAATCAAAACTACTGTGATAGATTAAGCGCTGCCAACAGCCCAGTTACACCTAGAGAGTTCAATGGGAATGCACAACAAAAGCTGGATTCACGTTATCAGACTCCATTGCAGATTGAAGTTGACCCGGTGAGTATTTTCTATGAGAATATGTTCATACCATAATCAGCCAACTGTAAGCTTGTATTTATCTGTTACTAATATTATAAATGCAAATGTTTAGATGTTTGGCCGTATGGAGGGATGGATGTTTGTTAGAAAGTATCTGTAGAATGGCTCAACGGATCTTGATGAAACTTGGCTTTAATTTAGAATATAGTTAGGAAGAACGCATAGGTTATTAACTATTTTTTTTTTTACTTGCAGACAACAGCTAGTTTTAAACATATGTTCATTCTGTACTTTATTGAAATATGAGATAGATGTGTTTTTCGATTTCCGATTTAAATATTAACATTTATCCGACGTTCTTACGGTGAAGGAAAACATCGTGATGCAACCTGCACATATCTGAGAAGAAATTCAAAGATATGTGTGAAGTCAACCAACCCGCACTTGGCCAGCGTGGTTGACTTTGGCCTAAGCACCCTTAACTTTGGGTAGGGTTCGAGCCCCTCGCTGAGGATATATAGTGAACTGATGATGATGATGATATAAGATAGATAGATAGATGAAAATTGGCACTGATAAAACATTGTGTTTTATACGTTTTTTCATGTCCTCCTTACAAATGTTTGTTATAAAATGTTTCAGAACGCGTGGGAGCTGAACGACTTGCCGCTAGATTTTGACGGTTACGTGGAAGTCAAGAATATGGCGGGATTTGATAAATTTATCCCAGTGGGTGAGTGTTGCATGCTTATTTAAAACCGCAAATATTCTTAAATAAACTTTTAAATCGGAACGCTAATAAATTTAATCTTATTTCTGTTTCTTTTTAAAATTTATTATAAAGTGACAAACATGCAAGTGGCCATGTGCAGTATTCTTGTAAGGATTCATGATTTTTTTTTTATTGTTTGTTCGTTTTTATTTTTAATTTATTTGCACATGAATTACGTTAATCTTTCTGTCAAGCTTCGTAAGTAGCGCAAAATTTGTTTACAATAAATTATTTCAGACATCTTGTTCAGAAGACATTAAAATAATTACTGTAATTTATTTAATTCTTAATTTCAATCCAATTAATTCAATATTACTTCCTATAGTGGAATGGCCAAAAAACTTAATAAGGGCAAGTTTTAAAACAAATCAGTAATAATTTGTTTTTCTAATCAACTGTCATTTGTTATCTGTTTTTAATTACTTTCATCGTATCGTCTCTTAAAATTAGATCTTTTTGACTAAAATTATGTTGTTATATCTCTATTTCTCACTTCAATTCTATTGAAGAAACTCAAACTAGAAA